ACTTTAGGTTACCCAAATTGGACATCACAATCTAGGATCACACACTCACCCTATGTTAGTCTAAGTATATAAACTTATGAGTTTAATAGGTACCCTGGTTAGTACAAAGAACTAGAACATTCAAATGAAATAATCTACCTCTGAGACTAGAGGGAATACCTTAGGATGATGTAACCCGCGGTTACTAATAAGGGTATTTCATACCACCTTAAAATTACGAATCCTCTTATGCCGCAACACTTATAGGGGATTCTTAACTATATGGTGTGTTATAATTGAGGGATATTAATATCCTCAGGATGAACGAAAGCTATGGGCATCCTAAAAAGGGAATTTATGCTCAAAGTCTAGGTTAATCCACCTATTAGTATTCTTTGTAGAGCCTATGGTTTCTCATTTCAATCTTGAAGTCATTCTCACCTGACTCTGTCATTTAGTTTAACAGTTCCAATCACTTTAGTCAGTCAAAACAAATATTCTTAAGTCATTTTTTCTCTTGTGATTCTACCTTACCAATTCAAATGCACTATCAGATCATTCTAAATTCTTCGAACATCACTCTTCAGATAGTCCTCCTCCCTTGGATGGTTAAATCCCATCACTTGGGCCTTTTCAATGACACAACGTCATCGAACTATAAGTCTCATTTTTTTGAGCTTAATTCTTCCAACTTAGATCCTTTTATTATCTTCAACACTCCCATTATGGAAATCCAACATTTTGATAACCTAGCTCATTACATTAATCAAGAGTTTTCTCTAGAGCTAATGGGCTCACAGCTATAGAGATATAATTAACTGCAAGAGCTTGCCTTTATAGAGAATGATACCCTAGAATTAAAATAAACCTTGTCTTACACTTGTAAGGTAAGGAAAAAAAACTTGGTTTAGTAGACCTACAAAGATTTTTTTCATCTGGGTGGTCAGACCTATTTTTAGGTAATAATTTTTTTCCTTTAGGGAGATAAGCTATTCTTCAGGATGACGTGCCTTGTCATCTAGATGGAAATATTCAAAAAAGTTTTATGGTGTATGGATACAAACAAAAACCCCTCATTAACTGCTTCTAAGAACTTGGTTTCATAGAGATATTAGATCATATAATAAAGTAAAACCTATCATATACCCATAATATAGGAAAAAAACCTGGCTTTGTAGACCCCTAACTTTGAAGATTTTTTCTCATTCAAGTAATTAGATAAATTTTAAGGTAATATTTCTATTCTTTAGATTAATATATTATTCTTTGAATGATTCATCTAATCATTTAGATGGAAATCTCTTAAGATTTATGGTTGATATTCAATCCATCAATAAAAAATTCATTCCCCAATGGTCAGATGCATCTTAATCTGATGGTAGCCAGAGAAGGCATCATGGAAGCTCATCATAGAATGGTTGACCATTGTGTTAACAAGCACATCAGTTCGTGGTAGAGGTAATTGTCTTTGGAGTAAATTATATTTATATTGGTGAAGTCAATATGCATCCTTCACTTGCCGTTCAAATTCTACGTAATGACAATGTTAGGCATTGTTGCATGGTACTGAAACTCTTAGATGTAGCCAGCCTCCCGAAGCTCTTAAACCTCCTCTCAAAATTGCTCAACCAAGGTGTCGATAAACATTTTCATTTTCTATTTCATCAGTCAGATCGTCAGGTTGACATTTAGGCAGTTAGGGGTGATATCGATTGGTATCATAAGAATTTTCACAACAAATTAAGCAAAAACATATATGTGAATCTAGAGGGTTTTGATCAATGCATCTCTATGCCCTACATTAAAAACTTAACTTAGAAAAAAATTTATTAGAATTACCATAGGTCACAAAGATTTGATGGGTGATCTTAGTAGTCTTGAGACCCTTTCACATAAGTTATCGAGCTCGAACGAGCTTGAAGGGTTCCTACCAGACACATTTGACTACCTGGATATAACATGTGTGAAACTCTTCTTGATTACCATAGACAATGATCACCACTCTTTCACCTGGGAACATAACAACTACATGGTAGGTGGAGGTGATGACATTGAAATAATTGAGTAGAGGCAACCGAAGATAATGTTGTGAGTAGACGGCGAGTCGATCAATATGAAATCTATCATGTTAGTGAACTATTTATCTTTCTCCCCTGTTGTAACTGGTAAATCAATAATTCTCAGTGCTTCCTTCCTCTCGCCAAAAATATCATAGTGGTTCAGGCATAACTGCACTTGTTCAATTTTGAGACCTAGCTCATCGAACACAAATTTGAAGATGGTGTTCACAGAGTTGCTAGTGTTGATGAGGATTCTACTGATATGATAGTTGACTATTAACACAGTTACAATGATAACATCATTGTAGGGATTAAACTTAAGGGGCAAGTCTTCACTGATAAAGATTATGGGAGGATTTGAGCTTCATTTGTCTATGAGGTCAGTTGCGCATAATTCTACCGATCGAAGCCTCTTCAAGCTATATCAATGGGATAATTCTCCATCTACTCAAAAAATGATAAAATTATGCCAATAATACATATATTGCAGACTCTGGGTAGTACACTTGATATTTCTGCAGCTGGAGTCCTTCATTATCATCGGTTCATTGCTCTTAGAGCAACAAATTCTTTCAATTTTATGACCTTAATCAGATATTCCATCAAGACTTGAAGGTATCGACACTCTTTAACGTCATTATCATGATCACAATGATAGACACAATATTTCTTAGTATCTTGAAGCTCTCGAACGTAAGCTCCAGCTATCATCAGAGTTGCTCCTTTAAAATAATATTTATTGTTATGGCCTCTAACATTCTTGCCCATTGAAACTCTCAACAGAGCTATTTTGGTTATTTTGTGGTTGAGTAGTGGGCGCTCTTCATACCAATTCAGACGATGGCTAGGATAACAGACCTGACTCCCTTAGTGGTGTGTTCTACAGGTTGCACTATGATCTTGTGGCGATAGAGCATCATTATAACGAGGATGGGTGGAAGGATGTGAATTGTATCTTGGTTTCCATCCTTTGCCTTATGTGGCCTTTTTTGGAGGGTAACGAGAGAGGATACTACTTTGGAGGTTGCAAGATTGGAGTTATTCTCCTCAACCAATATGCGATTATTGGTTGGTTCCAATAACTCAGCTAGTGCTTTGGCTTATGTAAGCCTAACATGTATATGAAGGATTCTTCCTTAACCCTTGAGTAAGGGCACCATGGGTGATTGGAGTTCCAAGTCAAAAACTTCTAATATATAATTTTGGAAGTGAGTGATGAATGATCACATGCCCCTACTATCCTTAGTTGATTTGCATGAGGACCTATGAGTTCTCTCAGGGCTTCCAGGAACTAAAAAATTATGCCACAAATATTTTTTTGAAATCAATGAAAAATGTGATTACTATTGACTATAATCCATTAAACCACCTAAGTTCTAACTCTCTCAGTATTGTAATGAAAAAATGACACTTCAATGCGTCACCGATTTTCAACAAACATGTAGCAGACTCAAACGAGGCCATGTTTTTGGTCAGATTGGTCCACCCCTTATAGAACTCCATTATTGGGACCTTGAATCTTTATAGTGGCTCAACCTCAGAGGTTTTTCATGAAAATACATTCTTGGGCTGACAAGGTGCTTCATTATGCCCTAATTGATGTTGATCGATCGGTGCCAACTCAACACTATCAAAGAATTGAGAGTCGTTTTCCATCTCCAAGGATAGAGGAACTTTATTCATGAATCACACCAAGGAATAGTGTAAGGAGAGAAATCACACCCAAGGAATAGTGTAAGGAGAGAGATAGAGAGTAAGAGAGTGACAGAAAGAGAGGAATGAACAGTAAACAGTCGAGTCATGTTCATAAAATGTTTCTCCTATTTATAAGAAAAAGAGTACAATGATGATATTATATTTTTTCCCCTGCTTGTAAGAGGTTCATACTAGAGTATTTCTGATATTTCACATGTATAGGCTTATCATCTGACTGGTTTCTGGCTCAACCGGCTAAGTCTAGTTGGCTTTAGGTAAACTGAATCTGCTCTCTCAGCTGAGCTTGGTCGGCATGGGTTGATCGGTTGGTCTAACTTGGTTGTCAATTAATGATTCCTAGTGATGAGCCTCTGAGGCATTATTGGGATGGTTGAAGTTGTGGTACATGATCTTCCCTTTGATCGGCTCTATCAAAAGGTAGTCCATCATATTTGGTCGACTTTTATGTAGTGGTTAACTCTTATGCACTTTTGCCTCGTTTCTGACTTAAGGGCATGTTGTTGATCATTCAATCTTCTTCTGATCTGCCTTACAGTTGGCTTTGGCCTTGTTGGCTCGGCTTTTATAGCTTCGCTCGGTCGGTCAAGTGGGCCTCATGATCTCCTGGCAATGGGCCAGCCTTCGACGTACTGCCTCATCATTTGATCTCTTTAAAATTAGTGCAGGCATTTTTTGATGTACAACAATAAAAAATATTACTATATAACTTTAAAATTATGAATAAATCTTTTCGCACTCAAATCTTTTACTTCACAAGCTTTTATCGATTTGATTTAGAAATAATTCTTAAGGCAAATCAAATCAGTTATTTATCGAATCCATTGAACTAGAAGGTCCGATCCAACTTTTAAAACTTTATTAAAAATTTTCATATCATTTAAAAAATATTGCTATGAATAGTTTTAAAAATATGATATATATATCACTTGGTTGGACATATGCTTGTCAGTGTAAGTCCCCTTTGGTTTGAGGTTCGATTTCCCTTGATGTAGTGTATGATACTCGAATTATTAGACGCATGTGGATGGCCGAGGCTCCTAAAATAGTCTGATGAGATTTTTTTTTAAATCACATAT